TTTTGATTAATTTCTGGAAGGAAAAAGTCTTTTAAAGTTAACTAACAATAAAATAAACTATACCCTTTAATGCTCTAAAAGCCAGTCCAGTTCCTGATGGAGTGGTGCACAGAAAAAAAGCATATGGTCAATATACCTGACAGGGCACCCAACTTCATAATTAAAAATGCATCAAGGAAACTGAGGTGCCCACTGAGGTACAGATTGGCAAATACTAGAAAAATCTTCTATCCACTGAGGCAAGGGCAAGGGAAAGTGAGCGCTGCTCTCCACAGAGTAGGGATGCAAAGTGGATGAATCTCTTTGGAAAGTAAATTTAGCAAGGACTATCAAAATTTTAAATGCATGTAAATCCTGTGATCCAGCAATTCCACTTCCAGAAATATATCCTAGAGATACATTCGCACACATACAAAGGCTTTCCCTTTTTACCATACTCTACAAATTAAGGTTCTCAACCATTAACATTTTTAGAAAAATAAACATTAAATGAATCCTGTTTGCTATGACTTTAAATAAAAATCATTTTAATAAGAGTAAGCAAGTGCTTTTGATCATCTTTTTTTTTTTTTTTTTTTTTTTTTTTTTGCGGTACGCGGGCGTCTCACTGTTGTGGCCTCTCCCGTTGCAGAGCACAGGCTCCGGACGCGCAGGCTCAGCAGCCATGGCTCACGGGCCCAGCCGCTCCGCGGCATATGGGATCTTACCGGACCGGGGCACGAACCCGTGTCCCCTGCATCGGCAGGCGGACTCTCAACCACTGCGCCACCAGGGAAGCCCTTAGTTTTATATTTTTCATGTGATAAAAGTACTGATATATTTTTCTCACAATGCTAAGTGCTGTAAATTCTAATTTCTCACTTCATGAATGACTACAGCAGTAAAAATTATAGAGGCCAAGGACGAGCACCATTTAGCTGGATTTTCTTTTCATTGGTATTCCTGGTAAAGAAAAAGAAACCATTTCTTAGTGCCTTTTATTTTTCTTTCATTTTTAAAAAAATATTTATTTATTTATTTGGCTGTGTAGGGTCTTAGCTACATTGTGTGGGCTTAGTTGCCCTGCGGCATGTGGGATCTTAGTTCTCCAACCAGGGATCGAACTCGCGCCCCCTGCATTGGAAGGTGGATTCTTAACCACTGGACCACCAGGGAAGTCCCCTTTGAACCTTTTAAAACAAAACATTTTATTTCCATTTTATTAATTATCCTGTAAGATACCAAGCTGGAATCATCCTTTTAATGTAGTTTAAAGCTATCCCAGCACAGAGATTAGTCAATGCACAGCAAATTCAAAGAGGACGCACGTTTGGGGCCTGTTCCTCACCAAGGGAAGTATTTTAAGTGGAAATTTTCACTGATCTCACAAATCTAAGAGCTTAAAAGGCTATAATGGATTAAAGGGAAGGCACTGCAGTCCCCACAGGCTATCGGTACCCTAAACAACCATCTTCACACCCACAGCTCCAATTTCTAGACTGTGTTCTAATCAGAAAGTAGTACCTCTTATAATCTGAGGGAAATCCATATGAATACAGGTAGTCACACACACACAAAAACCCACTTTGTTAACATATAATTCTCCCGAAATCATCTTAAATTCTGGCCCTTCTAGTGTAAAACTGGTGACAATCACATTACAGCCATCTCCATTCCTATTTTGTAAACACAGGGTAAATGGGAAACAGCACATACCTTGTGCTGGGAGAGGAATTATGAAATGCAGCTGGCCAAATCAATTGCCTGTTTTAATGCACAAAAGGTAAGGGCGTCCTCAACTTTATTAATCGGGACAATGGATTCTTCTATTTGAATACATCTGTTTGAGTCACAGCTCTTATAACCAAATGGAACCACAGCTTGAAAGACTGACAAGGGTCCCAGTCTCCCCACCTGCCGGGGACCTAGGCCTCACACTGTTGCAACTGAGAACTGTTCCACTTCTAGCTCTGAGTCACTGAACAGAAAAGACAGAAAGGCTAATTTAGAGGATTGTGATTGTCCAGATTTAGCCTGAAGCTTGGCTCCAGAAATCAAGATTTGCCAGAGATATGGAAGTTTGTCACCGGCCACCCCACCCTACATCGCTGAGTGAAAACAGGCTTTTCAGCTTTTAAAAGCAGATGACTGAGGAATACCATGAGGCTTTGCTTACCACCTGTGTTCAGGTGGTCTAATCTTCCTGCGCCCTGCAGTGGCCAAAATGGCAAACTCTCAAAATTAAACCTGGAAAAAATAACTGATCAAGCCATTTCCCCTCAAAATTAACATACAAATTGTAAAAGACTGACTGGAGGATACGACTCCTTCCATTTCCATTAAAATACATCACAGATAAAACCAGGACTTGTCTCAGTGCATCTAAACGTGAGGCTTCAGTAACCAAGATTTACCGATGGGGGGAAAAAAAACCTGCTAACAGCCTTTAATTAATGATCAGCATTCTACTGGGAGGAGGAGGGAAGCATTAGTCTAAACCTCCCCAAATGTCCACAGACCCAATCAAAAAAGCTCAAGATGTAATTCATCACTAATCCAACGTATGAAGTGGTCTCATCTGAGCAACCTGCATTTATAATGCATTTGTCTATCTGAGATTAAAGGCAATTTGAAATTGCAATGGTAAAAAAGCCATTCTAAAGAAACCGAAATCAGAGTCCCCAAATCTTAGTTTTTTGCTAGATATTCACCCAGTCTGTGAATAACCAGACTCACTTTGACTTAGTCACTATCTGATAAGTGACACAGATCATGATGATGAGAAAGTCAAAGAACAAGTAGATGGGCCAAGGTATTCCCCAACTTGACCGTCTGCAATCAAAATCAGGGAGCCAGCCTCATCCTACCGGCCAGCCACACACGTCACACATGGGGCAACACCTGTTATGAGCCAAATCAGATATGGTCCCTGCCCTTGTGGAGCATTCAGAACAGCCAGAAGAACACAAGTCACTAAACCCACAAATATGGAAACTGCTGGAAAGAAGGGTCCATGGTGCTATGGGAACCTAGAATGGCAGATGAGATTACTCAGAGGTCAAGAACTGGGGCTGAACAGGGCAAAGAGGGGAGGCAAAAGCTATGTGCTGAATCATTCTTAATTAGACCATCCTTTTGAAAAGACTTAGGTCTTCAAAACCTGAGAAATAAATTTTGCTAGTTGAAATGAAAAACTACACATTTTCTAAGGATACATGTTAAGTTTATTGATTCGTCTCCAAATTGATAACTGGGCCGTATGCCAAAAAGTTCAATGATATTCTGGATGTCATTCAGGCAATTTTTTTAAAGGAGGTCATCTGGCTGTTTCAAGATGGTGGTGACTAAGAAAAAGGGAGGATAAGGTTATGGAAGAAAGATAAAGAGAACAGAAAGGAAGGAATATTTTAAATGAACACTCTGAAGTTACTGGGAAGGGAATAAGTACCATATCTCAGGGTGAACTGTTGATAAGACCTGAAGGACTGGTAAAAACCAAGGAAAAAAATGTTCCCCAACTGCAAGCTTTTAGCAACTACACCTTAAAATTACTTTCATTACTGGACTCTAAATACTGGTTATACAGCCATTTTGACAGTAGTTGGCATCAAAAAGTGATGTACAGTAAATATTAAAACCTAACTGAGATCTCAAAAGGATAGTACATTTCTTAGGCATCTCTTAGAAAATCTAGACATTCCAGGCACAGTTGGTACTTGTGAGCACCTACAGCTCTAGGGATCGTGGGTTTTACAAGTAGTTATGTTAACGACTAGAGGTAATCTAGTTAAAAGCAGTCTCTCAGCCCAAACTAAACTAGGACAGCTAAAAGGTCAAGGCGATTAGGTCATATAGTTCTGTGATTTTTACCTAGATTTCAGGGTTGTTGTTTTTCCCCCGCTGACTGTAAACATCTATACTTCCTGAGATAACTCCTAAAGGTCCTCACGTACTCCGTATATCCTCAAATTTGACACAAGGGGTTTTCTTTTTTCCTTTTAAGTATTAAATATGGTTATCCACATCTTCTATAAAAATATCACAAAAAGGGTTGGGTGAAGGCTGGCTAAAGAACATACATGCTGGAAAATAGATCTAAAAGACAACGATCTGAACAAGTCACAATCTTGCCGACTGTAGTCGCCGAGAATAAATATTTCAGCCTTGAAGACTACGACTATAAAATGCAAAATGTCTAGGAGGTTCAGCATTGCCTCCAGAGACCAGAGTAGAGGGAATGCTGGCTTACGCCTCTGGCCGCATTTGAGAACTTCTAACTACTCCTCCAGTATTTGTTTATCCAACTGAGTGCAATGAACTGAGCGAAAAGGAGGACGCCGCCGTGTTTGCGAAACCTGTCATTCCTTTTGGAAATGCAGCGTCGGCTCAGATTTTCTTTGGCTCCGAGCGAGCTACACCCCAGGCTTTCTCTGCATCAGGAAGGCGGTGTCTGCTCGAGCCGCTGCCGCAGGAGGACTGGGTACCAAGCCCGGGTCGCTCCAGACACAGCTGATATCACGGACGGTGCGCTGAGGGGAACCCATGGGCGGAGGGCTCGCCAGGCTGCAACACGCGTCAGGGCCCAACAGCGGACTTTCCGCTTGGGGAGATAGCGGGGCGGGGGCTCGACACGCTCGGCTCGGGGGTCAGTTCTCCGCGGACTCCCCCAAGCAGCTCGCCGGTATCAGGCTGGGTCGCTCCCACCGGAAGAGCCTGGAGAAAGGCTCAGCTAGCGGCGGGCAGTCGGCGGGTTTTATTACTGCGGATGGCGCAGTCGCCACCCCTGGAGACCCACTACAAAGATGCAAGCCCCGCGCCGCGCTCGCCGCTGCCGTGGTCCCGCCCCGGCGCTCAAGACCCTGAAAAGCCTAGAAAGAGGGATTCATGCTCCCGAGTTTGCAGATGGACTGGACCGGCCGGGAAGTTATCGCAGGCGGAGATCAAGGGACCCCACACATACACACCCACACACACACCCCACCCTCCGCCACCCCGGGGCAGGTGGCTCGGCGCGCCGGTACCTTGGTGGCGGGGTCCGCAGCGGCGATGGTCGCGTCCGCCGACGATCCGGGCGCCGCCTCCGCCGCAGAGCCTCCGCCGCTGGGCTCGGGCTCGGGCTCGGCCGGCGTCGCGCTCCCCGCCTCCGGCTGCTCCGGGCTCCTCTGTTCGGTGGAGCTCCCGGCGCCCCTGGCTTGTCTGCGGGTCTCCCGCGCCCAGCAGCCGGGTTACGCCTTCCCCAGATAGCAGGGACGCGGAGAAGAGCCAGGAGTCGCGCGCCCGCGAGGTCCCGGGAGCGCCTTCCCCTCCCGTCGTCCTCCTGCGAACCCGCCCAGACAGCGAATGAAGGAGACGCGCTCGCCGCAAACTCCTTAAAAGAAAAAAAAAAAAAGCCACCTCTTTGCCTCCTCCTCCTCCCCCTTGTTTTTCCCTCGCTTCATCACATGAGCACAGCCCCAGACACGCCTTGCAGCAGCATCTCCTGCTAGGTTGCTAGGACCCGAGGAGCGGCCAGAGCCTCAAGCCAAGGGCCAGGCGAGCCGCCCACCCCGACCCCCAGGACGCCTCCTGTTCCTGTACGGGGACAGGAGCTGGGGGACCACCACCCAGGGCTGCCTCCACGAAGGGGAGGGGAGGGCGAGGGGGAGGGAAGGGCAGAAAGCCCCCCCCCCCCGAGGAGATCGGATTCGCCGGGGGTTTATTAAATGATTGATGACCCGAGGCAGGGCTTCTGCTGCAGCCCACGTTCAGCTGGGCCAGAGGCGAACCCAGACCCCCGTTTGCTTTTTACCTTCACAGTGTTTGCTTCTTCCCCATTAGCAGGAGAAAGGCAAGAGCTCCTGGGCTCCTGCGGAGTCTGACCATATTAGGACACCTCACGTGGCAGGAGCTGGGATCCGAGAGGTTAATGCAGTCAGTCCACGGATGGGGTGGCCCAGGCAGCCCCACGCTCTCCTATCGCCCGGAACAAGTGATATCAGGCGATGCCGTGGGCAACACCGACCGGCTGCCCTCATTCCCCGGGGAATCTGGGGAATTGAGCCTGTTACTGGAAATGTGCCTGTCCTTAAGGGCCTGATGCTGGAGGTCCAGGCCACCTCTCCCTCACGCCACCGCTGAAACAGGATGACATGGATCTGCTCGTTTGCTGTCAATATTTCTCCATAGATAAGGGCTTTCAATAATAACTGCGTAAGTGGCTTGCATTCTGACACTTCATACTCCTGAATATAATATTTGTCATATGAACATAGCAGGCAGTCAATATATATTTGTACTAAATTAAAATGTTAGCTGAATTATCTGGACGTAAGCATGAAGGTAGTGGGGCTGAAAGAAAAATTATCCCAGTTTTAACCGACAACTAAGCGCCTCAGTTTTCACAAACAGAAGCTCATTAAGAATGAAGAAACTTTTGGAATATTGCCACTAGATACCAGATAAATATCCCATACCCAGATTTAGGACAATCTAGTAGAGAATTGATGTAAACAATAGTTCAGCACCAGGATATTTGTGCCTAATTAATTGCATGTAGTAAAATGGCTCCTTGGGAACCATAGGTTAGTTATCCAGCATAAAATTTTTCTGAATTTATCATTTTTATTTGAAAGGAGTACAGAATGGCCACCTTCTCTGGAATCTGTCCCTTAAGAAGCAGTATATTTGGAAAATGGTTGGTTTTCCGAAGTTTTAAGCATTTCCCCCATTTTGACTTAAATATTTAGGAAACATTTGAGTACTTACTCAGTACCAGACATTGTGAATGCACTTTGTGTGTATAATCCCATTTCATCCTTACAGCAATACTGCCATGCTGACCCTATTGTTCTCATTTTACCAATGGAGTGGGGGAAAGTAGGCCCGAAGAGGTTAAATCAGGCCTTCAAGGCTTCAGAGCCGGTTCATGGAAGACAGATTCCTCCCTGGCCAGCCACTGGCCAACATTTCACTCCCCTTCTGTGGGAAGCTTGGAATGTGTTCTCTCTTCTTCTCAGGGATGTCAGTGAAAAGTGGCGTTTAGACCTCACCGGGGATGTTAAGAGCAAAAAAACGCGGTTAAAACCTATTTGAGGGGCTTCCCTGGTGGCGCAGTGGTTGAGAGTCCGCCTGCCGATGCAGGGGACATGGG